GAGGGTTTCAATCGATATCACATTGATTTGCAAAATCGATTTCTGTCTCGTTTCGTAACGGATAATAATTAAAATAGGGAAATATTTTTATTTTAGGCTAAATCGTGTTGTTTTCATTAATAATTCATCTCCATAATTTGTGAATAATTATAGCTTTTGTATTATAATAGTTTTAGTAATTTTTATATAATATTTAAATTTTTATACAATAATCTTTTTAAATAATAGACTTATATTATCAAGTTTGATAATAGTTAGTAAGATATCTAGTTTGCAATTACTTTTGCTGTATCATTGTAACATTGGTAAATTAAATCAAATGTGAGATATACATGTATAATTTATAACCACCACATCTTACGAGTTAGTCGGGGACCGACCGATTCTATAAATTACATTTTTCATAAATAAATTGTGGTTAAACACATTTTTTGTTTGTGCCAGTGTCAATATGTTTAATTGGATTATAGTTATTTAAAAATGTTCTAACAATAATAAATCTACCAGTAATAATTATTTCAACAATAATATTGTTTGTTTATTTATTTATTTATGATTCTCGATTTATTCTATTATAATAAATCAAACATTTTTTATATAAAACACGTGGAATTTTTAAATAATAATCATATAAAATACAAACAAAATATATTCTATAAGTATTTAAAGAAAAATATTACTTAACTAATTAGTAAGTAACATTAATTATTCACTATTATTACTTGATTCCATAATAATTGGTATTGAACAGATATATAACAATAACCAAATTTTAAAATTAATCTAATACAGTTTGTTGAATTATTTATATTAAAATAAACTACTGTTTTAGTGCAACAATATACTAAATTAATTGCATTTAACACTAATAACACAACCCTATTAATTACATTAATGTTACACAATGTTGATTTACAAATAATTAAAAAATATATATACATAAAATGTATATCAACATACATAATATAAAAACATATTATGTTTAATATTTTATATAAACTTTATAATAGTATATTTATAATATTTAAAAACTGTTATAATGTATTGTTGAATATAATGTGTGTATATAAACTTTTATCGTTATTTGGTTTATAAGTATTTCCCAATTACTAAAAACATTGCTTCTGTTTGAAGTTTTCAATAAATATTACATTGATTTGCAAAATAGATTTCTTACCCAAACATTATTTATCTGATAAAATAGGGAAATATTTTTATTTTGTGCTGCATCGTGTTGTTTTCATTAAAAATTCATTTCTATAATTTGTAAATAAATATAGCTTTTTGTGCTACCACAAGAATTTTGGTAATGTTCATATAATATTAGATGCTATAGTTTATTAATGCTTTAGTATTACTGTGTTATATAATTAGTTTTGTCACTATTTATGCTAAAACAAAACAACTGCTTTAATGCATATTAATTACCATCTAGCATGTTTTCTCATTATTATCTAGAATCAAACTACGATTACATGTATAAACTATTTGGTGAACTGAGATGTTTAGTGCAAATACCGCCGGAATATGTGGTCCAGTATTACAACTCGTGGTTTGAGCACAAATTCCTATACATTCAACTCGAGTACTGTTCGCATACACTGAAGGACATCATTGCCCTAAAGGGGCCCGAGTTTGGGCGCCTGAGCCCAGTCGAGCCCATGAATGCCATCGAGTACTTCATATCCAGCGAAATATTCAAAGAGGTGTTGGAATGCGTCCAGTATTTGCACGACTTGACCGAGTCGTCCGATGTGCTGCTCCGTGACCTCAGGGCTGATAATATATTGGTGGCCGACCATGGTCGAGATGGCCGGTATATTAAGCTCAGCAACTTTGGCAGCGTTCGCGCCGATGATGTGATTGATGATAATGATGATTATGATTTTAAATCCTGAACCTTCCCCGAGAACACTTTTAGGCCCTACCCCTCACTTTTATTAGTTATGCGGTTTATATTATTCATATGTGTATTAAAGTACATTATAAATGACGAATATAAGCCTTTTATATTATAAAGAGCATGACTAATTAAATTGAGGGCTAGGGCTAAAAGTGTTCTCGGGGGATCTAAATAAAAAGTTCAGGATGTAAAATTATGATGATACAGTTCACCAGGGTGTTATTGACACTATTATGTTTAATAATAATAAGGCTGACGTTCATAGTGTGGGTGCCATCGGCCAGGAGTTGTTTGATTTGAACATACATGAGTTAGTATAGCATTCTTGAGGAAAATTCTTATAATATACAGAATATTTTATAATAAATTATTATTTTTATTATTACTTTAATACTTAATTAATTTGTATTATATTTATAAATACAGTGTAAATGCGTTGCAAAAGTATTCATCGCATGAATTGCGGGACAATTTTGGGAAATTATTCAAAGTATTTGTATCGATGGGTATAGACGTGAGGGGACAGACATGCGGTCAGGTTATCAACCAATACTAGGACTGGTCTATCGATAAGCATAGCGTTAAACGTGTCCACGATTTCAACGCAATCCTCTATAAGTCAATGCAAAGCGATTGCGATTTTTTCTATAAATATATCGTCGATAAAACTAAATGAGATAATAATAGTATTTTATAAGAAATAAATAATATTTATTTTTATCATCATGAAATTTTAAAAAGTGTTCCTTATTGTAAATCCCAAATATATTTATGTAACTGTTTATAAATAATAAAATTTTATTGAATTAATTAAAATGAAAAATTAGTTTGGGTGATTACCAAATTTGTTTGATTAAATAGTTGTCTGACAGTATGTGTTCAATAATATTTATTTTACAAAATTATAAACATATTCAATATTATTTACTTTATTAGTTACAGTTTGTAAGTTATATGAAGTTGCAAAAGGCTTGATAATATTACATAGTTAATATCATTATCAAAAATATTGATTGGTAATTGGCCCAAATAAAATTCTATTGAGTATTTATATAACCATATTTACAACTTTTTAATTTATTTATTACAGTTTTGTAGATTAATAGAAAATACAATAGTTTTTCAGTTATTATTAGTGTAATTAAATACTGAGTTGTACAATTTACTTTATTAATAAAATACAATTAATGTTTTCAATAATAATAGATTAAATTAAATTGTTTATTTTTAATTGCAACATTATATTGTATTAAACTTAGTTTTTAGATTATTTATTATTTAAAAATAATTTACAAATTCGGGTTGTGTATTAAAAATAATTATGTTTGTTTAAATTGTGTAACTAAAATATAACCATGTGCAATATTATTGAATTTATTAGTTATGGTTTGTAAGTTAAAAACATAAGTCACATAAACAAGATTATATATTATTTGTTATATTGCATGATAGTTTAATAAATAGGTAAAGAGTAAAATAAAAATAGTTGACAATAACTAAGGCAACTAATTTTTATCTGGAATTTATTTTTTAATATTATTAATAAAAAATGAATAAGTTACAATTAACTAACATTAAATTTAATAAATTTGATTAATTATGAAATAGTTAAAAATAATTGTGGTTTATTTAAAATATTATATTTTCTAATTTTTAACCCCTGATTATATTTTCAACCATTAGATAAATGTTAATAAATGTTATAAATTACTAATTTACTGTTTGTAAGAATTTAAGCATTAAGTAAATTGGCATATAAACAATTTTATTGTGTTATGTCAATTTATTGATATGATGTATTATTACAATATGTATTCATAAAATAAATTATCAATAATTTAAAATTTTAATTGGTTAAGATTATTGCCAATAAATATTTCTAACCTTAACAAAATTAAAAAAATATTTATAAATTATAAATAATTTAAATAAATAAATTCATAATGTACAAATTATTTTTCATTTAATAAAATTTCATAATTCAATATTATATAAAATATTATTATAAACTCAAATTATCATGGTGTTTTATAAATTATATATGGGCGGCCGATATCTTTCCTCCAGTCTGAATTTACAATATCTTCCAAACGGAATGAGCTAGCTCAAATCTGTAAACGGTAAAATGATGTCCCATATATCTAATATTTT